ACTGAGAGCAATGATAATTTTTAGCAAACAAACTAAGGTTGCTTTAACTTGACCCAGATACCCTGACAGACAAATGGCAGTCAAACTCACTTTCTCTGTTACTTGCCATGAGTCTAAGTCCGTAATTGACTTCTACAAAAATTATTGTGACAATACTGCACCAGTTCGTAGTTTTATCACTGATTATTACACCAAAAAGAAGAAAAGAAAGAAAATATAAAGGGAAGAAGGAAAGGAGAAAGGAAGGAAGGAAAGAAGAACAGAGACACACAGCTGGTGATGTGTAAGCAAAGATACACATTTCCTACTATTATTTCCATTCCTAAGCTTATCTGTAATGGACTGCCTATGGGATATCACGAAACTGAGTGATTGCTAGTTGATTTACACAATGTAATCTATATTAAAAAGGATTTATCAGAATGTAATTGATCATTGCTGGTCAACACAGCTGAAGCAAAAATAAAATATCAGCCCTGTTGATTCCTTTTGTAAGATGCATAAAAACAAAAAGAGAAGCATGAGTGTGTCTAAACAGGAGCTCACATGCATCCTTTCAGGTAATCTTTTTATCATCCTTGGACCCATGCCAAATATGATGACTAACTCGCCAACTGAAGGACTTTGTTATTCACACAAAATAACAATTAAGAACAGAAGGTGATAAAAAGAGCTATTTGGGATTATGTTTTGCTCTATGCCAATACATTATTCTGACAGTAAAGTGCAGAAAAGTTATCAGGGGTGATAGAGTTTTGTTATTTATCATAACAACTTAAAAGTTTAAGGTAGTTTTTAACGAGATATTTAAGTTCTCAGAAAAAAAATAACTTCATTATCTAACATGGCTGGTTTTCAGGTCATGAAGAGCTGCAGTCAAACAACCGCAGGCAATGAATCGTCTCACTTAGGAAGAAAAACCTATAAAATAATAACTTCAGAAGCTGGGCTTATGGGGGCTGGCCCTGTGGCTGAGTGGTTAAGTTCGTGTGCTCTGCTTTGGTGGCCTGGGGTTGGCAGATTCGGATCCTGAGTGGGGACCTACACACTGCTCGTCAAGACATGCTGTGGCAGCATCCCACATAGAGGAGCTAGAATGACCTACAACTGGGATACACAACTATGAACTGGGGCTTTAGGAAGAAAAAGAGAAAACAAAAGAGGAACATTGGCAACAGATGTTAGCTCAGGGCCAATCTTCCTCACCAAAAAAAAGCATACTTAAAAAAGAAAGGAAGCAATGCTTATACAATAAAAGTGGCATGTTCATAAAAATCACAAATGTGTATATAATGCAAAGTGAATACTATCATATTAAAAATAAAATTTATGATAAACCATTTTGTTTTGAGATATAATCCCTTAATAAGGAGTCTAGTCAGTTTCCTACTGTCATATTTTATCAGTATATGACAGATGCTCAGTGTCATCTCCTCAAAATATCAATGTCCTTTTAATTTAACTAGTTTAGATACGTACAATTTCTAAATTAAATTTGGTTTTGCTCTGCCTGGATTATTCTCTCATTTAGAGACACTGTAATTTCTCTGCCAAAATCTAGTAGAATACACTTTCCATACTCTTGTTCAGATTACCCACCCAGGGATCACAGACTTGAGTGACGTCTAACATTAACAAATTCCTTAAAGAGAACAGAAAACAAACATGTTATTAGAGACTGGTGTGTGTATTCAGTTGTCTTGCAATATCCTCTCTCTCCTGTCTGATTCTCAATTGCCTATTCCACTGGGCCCAGGATTCTTAATTTCCCTTCAAAGAGAGCAAACTTGCTTCCAGCTGTGTTTTTCACTCTCCCATTGCTCAATTCAATCCAGGGCACGCTCACCCCTCGCTGGCCCTTTTCCCACGTTTGCTAATCTCCATTCTAAACTCATTCCTTGTGATTGTGAATGAAACTGAGAACGCTCCCCTGGTCTAACAGGCAATCTAGCAAGTGAGCTGCATAGGCTTAAAGTCAGCACAATAAAAATCCCCGCTTTACTGTGAAGCGCCGTGTAGGCCTCCTCAGCCTGTGTCTAAATGACCTTGCAAGCCCTCGTGTCTCAGGACTGAAGACACCAGCAGCATGAATCAGCAACTGGGAGAGATAATGGGTACCTTGCTCTCACATTTCCCAGCTGCGTTTCTTAGAGAATGAGGAAAAAAGTAATGACCCTGGTCCTTGCCTCCCTCCACACAGAGAGAACACCGTTACAATCCTTGTTTGACATATAATCAAAAGGCTCTTGTCCATGTTATCCTTGAAGTGGATGACTATTAGATGTGTAAGCCCTTTCCTGCACTTGCCCTGTTTTGTTAAAAAGTATAAACTGTATTCAAATCTGTAGACCTCCGAGTAGTTCCTCAGGATACCCTGTCGGACTGTTTCTCAGGACTCAGATTCCTTGCTTTGATGATCAAATAAACTCCTTCATTTAAACTTTACCTAGACTCTTTATTTCGGGCGACATGTCACTAGAACTCACAATAAATTACATAAAGAGAATGGTTCTCCACCTCCTTGCCTTGGTTTCCAAAAACCTGTCTAAAAGCAGTAACACATTTTCCTCTAAATCTCCTCTACTCCTGGGGCATGTTTTGCCAGAATTGGCCTCCTCTTGACTCCATTTTGTTACGTCTCTTTTCAGCTTCTCCTCTGTTGAAACTGCTAAATATAGCTGTGACACTCTCTTTCCATTTTGTTTTCTATTAGCCCATATTCACTGCTTACTTTAGCCCTGGTTTCTGCCTTCCATAAACTGTTTTGAAAAGTATGTCCGCTTCAGCAATCATACTGAGAAACTTATTCGACACACTAACCTAAGAAGATCTTTTAACCTTCTCTGCTCCAGAAGGAAAGGAGGAAAACAATAGTCCACAGCCCAACTCTGGCCTCTTTTTGTTTTTGTAAATAAAGTTTTAATGGAATCCATCCATGCCCACTTGTTTGCATATTGTCTATGACTTTCCCTGAGGGCAAAGTGAGTAGTTGCAACTGAGACCACAAAGCGAAAAATATTTGCTGTCTGCCTTTTATAGAAAAGGCTTGTAGATCCCTGTTCTACAGTTTCCCAAAGTCACAAATCCTAAGAATCGTTACTAGCAACCAGTATTTCCAGAAGGAAGGTGTGTGAACGTCTCTTTTAATAGCCCAGGGGATTCTTATGAGGCGGGTTTTGAAAGATTTATTCTACCCTAAAAGATCTAAAGATACAGGAAAGGAGAAGGAGCTTTGATTCCCCCATAGTCTCAGGCAGTGGTTCTCAAAGCGTGGGCCCTGTAGTAGCAGAGTTGGCCTTACCTGGGAACATCTTAGAAACGCAAATTCTCACACTCTGCCTCGGACATACTGAATGAAAACCTCTGGGGTGTGGCCTGGCAGTGTGTGTGTTTTAACAAGCCCTCCTAGAGGTTCGGAAGCATGTTTAAGTTTGAGAACCGTTGCTCCAAGGAAAGCAGTTACTGTTACTTCACTGAGAAAATCACCCAATTTCCTTTCTGTTTATTTCTGAATGTATCTACACAATATTGTTCTGTATCTTTTCGTTGAGTTTCAGATGAGATATTTGTGTGCCTTTGTAAGGTTAACCTCTTCATTGGTCCCTTAATCCTGTATCTTTGCATCTCCTCCAGTACTTTCCTCCATGAATCCCTTCTCTCACCACCCTACCTCCATCTTCCTCTCACCTCTACAAACTTAGCATATACACCAGCTCTGATTTTGCTTACAGATGTTGTCACGGCATGCCTTCTGCCTTCTATTTCATAGTTAACATCACCCTCTAACTAATTGTCTAAGCCAGTAACGAGGAAACCAGGAGTCTTCTTGACTTCTCTTTTTCAGAGGTTTTATTTCTAACTACTGATTAAGACTTTGTGATTTTCTCTCTTAATTAACTCTCAAATTCAACCCTTCTGCATCTCCATAGTCACTGTGCTAGTGTAGGCCAGAGAAGGCAAGTGCATGGTCCCAAGTTTACAGCAGAGGGCACTGATTGACTGTCTCTCTCTATTCCACAGAGCCCAGATTCAGCCTCATAATCTTTCTCAATTTAGCAGTGTGGACAAGCATTACTAATTGGTTACTTTGATGCTAGCTCATTGGTTGTCAATTTCTGGCCTAAAGACTGGTGTCTGGCTGGTTGCATTAGAATCCCCTGGGCAACTTTCACGAATACAAATTGCAGAGACCCATCGTCGACTTAGTCTCTTTTGTGGTAGGAACTGAACATATTTTCTAAAACCCCCCTAGGATATCCTGATGAGCACACTGACTTTAAAACCATTTTTCTGGATGAGACTTATTGATGCCCCTGATCCAGTAATATCTCATTTTGGCTATTGCAATAGCCTCCTGAGTGGCGTTCTTAGCTCATATCTCTGTTTAAAATTCATTTTTCTGTATTGTATCAAGGTGACCTGTAAAATTTTTTTCTAAACTCAGTCATAGTTATCTAATCCCCATTTTACAAGACTTTTATGCTTTTCCATTAAATATAGAATAAATTAAAAACTCTCACCATGGTGTACAAGGTTACACCACTCTATATTTCCAGATGTATATTTTGGATGGTCTTTCCCCTGTTAATTGTCTGCAACACTGGCCTTCCTGACTGTTTATTCGTCTCTCAATATGCCATGGAACCTCACACTCATGTGCCTTTGTTTCAGAAAACTTTTTTCTTTCTGAAATATACTTGTGAAGTACACTTCTTGTGTATATCCACCTGTCCAATTCAAAGGCGACTTTCATTTTTTTTTCTTACTTTGTTGGCGTTGCTCTGGGGTCTGGCTCACCTGAAGAGATGGGAAGTTTTGAGAGTAGCAACAAAATTATTTTTTAACTTAAAATCCTCAAATCAGTGCCTAGAAATTCAGAATCCCTCAATTAATGTTTGCTGAAGTGAACGTATTTGAACTAATTAGAATTAAATATGTAAGGGGACATTCCAAGTGTAAATCTTAATGCCGTTATACACGCACTCACGTAAGTTGGAGAAAATTCATTAGGTATTGAAAGTTTCGGTTGTATTTTTCCCTCAGTGGCTCCAGGACTGAGTAGCAGGGACTATAATTTCTAGGATCACTTTTCTCTTATCAACTGGCCATTACAAACAAACAAAGACTAATTTTTTCTTTCTCTTTCCAAATCCATGTCTCTAGCTGAATTCCAAAAAAATTCCATTTTTCTTTCTGAGAATTTTAACTCCTTTGTATTTAGTAGATGATCCTGTCAGTCTTCACCAGAGTGAGAATTCTGCACCTAGAGAAAGAGGAGACAACTGTGAAATACTGGGAAGTAACATCAGAAAACAGATACAGCATTCTGGCCATTTTGTAGAAATGTTTTAGAAAAATTTTATGACTAAGAGACAATAATCCCCATGGTAATATTTCCTTCAAATGTGGAAGTTGTTATCAGATTAAAGTTGCTAAAAATGCAACGGGGGGGGGGGGCTGGCCCAGTGGTGTAGTGGTTAAGTTCATATGCTCTGCTTCTGCAGCCCCACGGTTCACAGGTTCGGATCCTGGGAGCAGACCTGTACACTACTCATCAATCCAGGTGGTGGTAGCATCCCTTAAATAAAATAGAGGAAGATTGGGATAGATGTTACCTCAGTGACAATCTTCCTCAAGAAAAAAGGGGAAGTTTGGCAACAGATGGTAGTTCAGGGCCAATCTTCCTAACCAAAAAAAAAAAAAGCGGGGGGGGGGGCAGCATTAAAATGCATGCAGGGAGCAGAGACAATGAGGTATATTCAGGAATAATATATTGCCAGGATTTGTAATTGAAAATATGTCATATACTGACAAAAAGAAAAAATATAGTAACTATAAATATCAATTTTCAATACAAAATACTTTTATATTTCTCCTGTAGTGGTCACAGATTTCCTTAAACCTAACATTTCTTGTCGTTTTCCCTGTAACTGCCAATGACACATATGTGAGACAATTGACCAGACTTAAAAAGTTTGCCTAAAGTCATAGAAAAGGGGAAAACTCACTGACAGTGATGAGCACTGAGAGTATAGCCTAATATTATTTATCTCATACCTTGAGTATTCACCATCTATAATAGATACTTTTCTCACATGATTCAGAACATTCTTATGTGATAGAAATTTCTCTAAAATCTCAGCTAAAAGCTCATAGCTATTTGATGCCAGGGTCAGAACCAGTACTTTATTTTTACTTCTCTTCTACCATCTTGTTCTATTCAGTAGAATTGAATAACAACCACAAAAACAACAATAAATATTGTACCAAGTAAACTACCATAATATTTTGTTTGAAAATTTTTCACGGATGTCTATAGTAATTTAGGCAACATATATGTTGTAGCAAAAAAATTTGACAGCAGTAAGTTCAACTAATATATTTATTACAAAACTTAGCTGCCTACAAAAATCCAAATTATCCCATGGAAACATATTTTTCTCAATTATCAGTAAATTATTTTCCTATTTTACATTCTTGTTGTTTCATCTTAATTAAATTTGATTTCTTCAACCTGGAGCTAAAAAAAGGGAAAGAAAACTTTTGGACTGCTTGCAAATGTCAGTTGACAAACCACTAAGTATCAATCTTCTAAATATGGTATTAAATGAATCACGATTACTGAAACTGAGTTTTGCTTGTTATATCTAAATGTCAGGGAAAAAGATTTTCACCATCTCATTTGCCAATGTCTCTTGCCAGTGATTATTTAACCTTTGAAGGCACTAGATTGTAATGCCAAGAAAAACTTAATAATACTTAGAATGAAAGATGTATTTGCTATTGTAAGCCCCCAAATTAAAACCCAATTGTAGATTAAATGTTCGGCTGTAGATATCATGATTGGAAATGTGAATATATTAATCTTTTAGAAACAATGCTATAAAATAATAGTTTACCAAGCTTTCCAAAAACTCATATATAATCCCTATGAAAAATGGGAAAATGGGCTGTAACACTTGTATGCATTTAAGAGAAACTGAATTATAAATGTTAATTGGCTCTGATTCTCTGCCTGAGGGAAGGGAGCCTTCATCAGAGGAGAATGGAGAGTCAGCTGGATACTTTCTGGAGCTTCTGAATATGGAAATTTTCAAGAGCTTCAGAGATTTGTGTCACCTATTTTCAGTGTGTATAGTTTAATTTCAAAACGTAACTTTTTTTCTTCTTAAAGGTCTTTCACTTTTTATTTGTAAAACAATTAGACTTAAAATGAAATAAGTAAAAATAAAATAAATCAAGGAAATAAAGGAAAGATAGCATCAAATAAAATAATAGTATGCTTCAAAATAGGTAAAAAAATATTCGTATATGTACATTTATGCATACATCCAGAGATACTCATAATATGAACATATACCTCACGAAACACTGAAAGTGTGTCAAAATGCTAATAAAGATTATTTTTCCATGTTGGGAATATGAGTGATTACAAGAGACAGAAAACGATATTACCAAGAAGGAAGCATTTAGGTTTATATACAGACAACAGGCAAGAATTAGAAGAGGGGAAAGCGAGAAGCCATTAGCAGAATAGCTTCAGACACATTTGTAAAGGTGGTTGCCATTGGTGGAGTTACCCAAGCTTAATTGGTGAAACTCTGGACTCCTTGGTGATAAGTTACTTCTATGTCTTCCTTATGGATAATGTCTCTATAACTGACTCTACCCTGAGAGGTAAAAACAATGGATTAGTTATATCTGTGATCCTCTCTAGTGCACTGTATAAAGGAGATATACGAGATAGGCTGCTGGTTATGCAATAGTAGTCCAAATGGTTCACACTCTTTCTTTCGAAAGGAAATACATTAACTGTATAAGTTATTATATTGTCCTCATCAAAAAGAATGCCTGCAATATACAGGGCATTGATCATGGTAATTGGACAAAAGAGAAATTTTAAAAATGGTTATTGTCCTTAAGAATTAATAGTAATCTAGACAGAATTCAAAATATATTATGATGTACATCCGAAAGCTATATAATGTTATAATCCAATGTGACTGCAATTTAAAAAAAAGAATTAACAGTGATACTTATATAAAATATGGATATGATTCGTTGCTACTGGCAAATAGCAAAAATGCCCCCCCATCAACACATTGCCATGTTACTGTGTAGCCCCTCACATCAAAAGGTAGAGTCTATTTTCCTATCCGTAAAAGTTTGGCTGGGCCTGTGGATGGCCTGTTCTCATGAGACCCTCCTCAGCTACTATGTAAATAGCAAGCCCAGATTAGCTCGCTGTAGGTTGAGAGGCACAGCGGAGGGCAGAGTCAGCACATTTGCTGCAGCCAAGGTCTCGGAGAAGTGAGAGAGCCCAGCCAAGATCAGCACACCTTTCTCCTGATTCACAGTTGATGGCGTATTCATGAGTAAGTAGAATTGACACCAGCTGAGCCTGGACCAGAACAAAGCTGCCCAGATGACCCACAGTATCATGAGCTAATGAAATGGCTATTGTTTTAAGCGGTTAAGTGTTTGGAGTGATTTTTAATGCAGCAAATGCTAACTGATAAAATGCCAGAGAGGGAGGTTAGGGTCTACCATCTTCCTTTCCTCTGAAAAGACTTTGCTTAACTGACCATAATGTTAAATTAAGATTTTTGCAGTCAGAAATTATATTTATGAAATGAATGTGATTTTTCCATTCTCAAAAAGCTAGCAGAAACAAATATTTCACACATCAATATTTTGCCTTATACTTGTTTGAACCTTCAGTAAAATAAAATATGATAGGATATCCCCTGCTCTCTCTATAGTATTGGAGAGTAGCAGTAAGAGATGAGTCAGGAAATAAGCTTGGTTTTAGAAGACAACCCCTCTTAGCGCCTGTAGAATAGTTCAGCCAGCAGCCACAGCAAGTCAGGAGAACTAACATAAAGGAAATAAAATTAACATTAAATACTGCACTCTGATACACATAGCCCTCTTCCCTAATTCCTTGGCATAATCTTCCACTAGCAAGGATGCATATTGTAAAAATTGTCTCCAAATCTTACCTGGTCTTAGAAAAACCAAGTGAGTCCACTTTAGCAGATTCAGAAACCGAGTAATTTTTGTCTTATTAATTTTCTGGTTCTGGAGAATGCTCAATATTTTTCTGAAATAAATAATGCCAGCTACAGTACAATGTGAGAGTGTGTCCTCTCCTTACCTCCACTCTGGGATATAAGGACAACAGCTCTGTGACCTTAACTTTATGCCTTGATGGTTCATATTAAAGACTTCAAAGAAGACTCTTGGGCTGAAAGTCAGAAAGTTTTATTGTTGACCTCTCACACACTCTACAGGAAATTATTATAACTATATTTGGTAACTTTTCTAAAACACATTTTATTTTTAAAAAACAAATGTTATTAAAATAAATAATCTTTCCACATATAGAAGTTCATGCAGCCATTAAAAATTTGTTTTGAATAGTATTTAATGAAACTAGATGCTGTTTAATTTTGTAAGATAAGCAGAATGATAAACTATATATAGTTTTGCTTCAAAATAGGTAAAAAATATTTGTATATGTACATTTATACATATGTCCAAAGATACTCATAATATGAACATATTATGCCTCACAAAACACTGAAAGTATGTCAAAATGCTAATAGAGATTAATTTTTCATGTTGGGATTATGCGTGATTACAAATACTTTTATCTCTATTCCTAACTTTTTATAAATTCCTTAAACTCAACTGAAATGGAAGCCATCCCTTATTGGAGATGTTACAGTTGGGTAAATCATAGCTCATTATATTTTCCTGAAAGTTTATCGTCCTTCCTTCAACTCCCACAGTACTAAGCTATTTGGTACTTTCCGTTAATGTACACTGCCTACCACCTTTGTTCCTGCTTTTCCTCTACTTGGATCATGTTTTCCTCACTTCAGCCTTCTTCCACTGATGTTTCAAGATTCATCTTAGTGATTTTTTTCTCACTATGTCTTTGCTACTCAGCTTGTCCTCCTTTAGATGGAGCTAAGTGTGCTCAGGGCTCCCATGTCAACTCATTTATAATGCTTATCAAGTTGTACTGAAAATGCTTGCTTATGTTCATGCTCCCTGCAGTAAGTGCAAGCATCTCAAAGGAAGGGCTCAGGTGAGTCACATTTTATCATCAAAGATTAGCATAATGCTAGGGTCATAATATCTACTCAAATAATATTATTTGTTCCTTCATCTGTTTATGTATCTACCCATTCAACAAATTTTAATTGAATCACATAGTTGTATGTACCAACACTAGAGCCATGTATTAAATGAATAATGAGTGAAAGCTTAAAAAAATATTACTTTTTCTCAATTGCTCATAAGCTTTGTGCAGACAGTTTCTCCCTTTTTGTCTTATAGCCCAGATAAATGGTATAGACATTCAAGAAGTGCTTATCAAAATTAGTGATAAATAAATGCAGATACTTCATATGAATAAAGAATGAAGTTTTTCTTGCTGTTTTTATACGAGTGCATCCTATATTTGAATTCACATCGTGAAGATGCCTTTGAAATAAGCCATCACACATGGACTTCTAGAAAAGCACTGCAAGAACCATTGTTGTTTTCTAAAGGAACAAGGAAATTCTTAATGCACTGAAGGACAGCAGACCATAAGTGTGTAAGCCAGTTGCAGCAGCATTAATCATCAACTGTAGCTAAATATGAGTAAGTTCACATTTAACATGACATCAGCATCCCAATAAGAAACAATGGATTGATTAATCTCAGGAAATGATTAGGACTTCTGCTTTAGTGACTTATAATGTATTTGCCATCATTAGGGTCTTACTTAAGCATTGCATTTTTTTTTCCCCCTGAGGAAGATTAGCCCTGAGCTCACTACTGCCAATCCTCCTCTCTTTGTTGAGAAAGACTGGCCCTGAGCTAACATCCATGCTCATCTTCCTCTACTTTATACGTGGGATGCCTACCACAGCATGGCTTTTGCCAAGCGGTGCCATGTCCCCACTTGGGATCCGAACTGGCAAACCCTGGGCCACCGAGAAGCGGAATGTGTGAACTTAACCACTGAGCCACCCGGCCAGCCCCTAAGCATTGTTTTAATATAAGCACAATTGATTATACAACAAAATTAAGGGCAAGTTATTGAATTAAATGTATATATTTCTTCCAGTTTTTCCCCTCTGTTCAAATGGTACATTTCCAAACTCAAATGTGAAATGTTTTAATGGGTGAATTCAGAGACAGTGACACTTTTAATCTACCAGAGCTTTGAAAAATAAATCAATAGCTTCTGAGAGTGGAACGCTTCTGATGTAAGGATGCTTTGGACATCAATTTCTAATTCTGTGTGTCTATTTCTTTCCCTGAAGCTTTTGGTCCACTTCCTTGTCATAATAAGTGGAATCTTATCTATGTGAGATCCGTAATGTATATTTATAATATTCATCCAGCAGCTTCAACTATGTGGTCATTGCTTCACAAATATGCAGTTCTGAATTATCAAATATTCAAACTAAGCATTTGTTTAGGACACCATCACAGCACATAATAATCATACACTTGAAAAGAGGCATCAGGTTTATTCCAAGAATTTTTTGGACATTTTTGGCTTTATTTTAAGGTTAGTATTTTATTTTATTTTTGATTAGAATTTGGAGGCAATTTAATGTGTTCAGAGCTTAGGACTTTGCATTTCTTATTATAATCCTGCAAATATGTTAAGTAACTTTTGCTACCCTGTACTCAGTGTCATGTCATTTATTCTTCACGTAACGCCCTCCCTTGCATATTCTTTCATTGAAATTCTAACTATCTTTGAAAATGCAGGTAAATCCCTTACCGAAAGAACTCCCGAGTCAAAATTATTAGGTAAGGAGTGTTGTGTGCCAAAATCTTTTATTATTTAAATTTTTTATTTTAAGAATTAAAACAAGTTTTGCTTCATGTAACAGTGATTGGTATCTATGTCTTAATCATCTTTATAAGCCTACAAAAAACAAAAGTTATGTCTCAATGATAAACCTTTTGACCTAACAGGGAACTTAGGGCCCCACCTTCTACAACTGGTTGACCCAAGCCTCAAGAATTCATTTCTCCCAAGCCAAAGAGCTGGTGGGGTCAGAATGGAAACTACTTTTCCTCATTTCTGATTCTGGGCTCTTTACCAAACTGTCTTACACAGTAATTTCCACATAATGAGTATTCAATAAGTGATTGTTGAATTTACCTACTTTTAAATTTTAAATAACTCAAGACAATTCACAAATAGTCTTGATAAAATATTTTGGAATGCAGTTTTACCTTCTATTGATATAGCCATGTCCAGTGTTCACATTATGTTAAAACTACGGTCATTTCCGGGCACATGAGGTTTGTCTATAGGTTGCTTTATTCTTCTTTTTTACTCCCTAAACAATTAAAGTAAATTTTCCCAAAAGTCACAAATTTATTACATATAGTTAAAACAAGAAAAAAGAATAAGAGCCAGGTAATAAGTCAGAGACAGGCTAAGACTTGACTACTCATCTGAATATAAATCAAAGCTTTGGGCCTCCTGGAAATTGAGGCACACAAGGGAATATGATGTGTTATGTCACCCTCATTATTAATTTACAGAAGTGGATCAGAAAAATACAATGCAGAAAACTCTGATGCAAATCATAAGGGTTTTCATTTGATGAATCTATATGTATATGACATTATACAGTTTATTGGAAAGTTGCTTCAATAGTACTTTTCGAAAAGATCAGACATTTATATTGCTATTTTTAAGGCATCCCCTTAAAGGTAGAATGCTATAGTTTTATTTTTTGAAGACAGTTTTCATATACTATAAAGTTCTTATATGGTAGATTTGTATAATATATAATCCAGGTAGTTTTCAGATGACATTTTTTTTTAATTTAAGGTTGAAAGGTTAAGAGTGGGTGTTGGAACAGCTGGTGAATGAATAATTAGCATGTTTTCTTTAACTGTCAAGTGTGTCATTACCTCTTTGGTTGGGAACTAGAAGGTAAATAATTTAAAATGAACCTATTATGGTTTGGTCCTGAAATGCAAATAAAATTCTATATTATTTATACTGGATGTATCTAAATATCAGGAATGTAGTGGCAAGCTTGACACTTTGTTTTAGAATTCAAAGGGTCTGACATAATTATGTGGCCCATGTACTTCTCCACTGGGGTCGGCCATCAGAATTTCTTTGGGCAGGACCAAGTCTTCCTCAAGCAACAGCATTTAATCTGCTCAAATGCATTCAAATGCGTTTAAACACATGTTTTATTTAAGTGCACAGATTCTTCAGCATAAAACTTGAAAGGTATGAGCTTGAGTTTGAGGGGTTTTAAAAATCAGAATTGTATTATTCTGGGTTTTGAGAGAGAGATTCAATGTTCTCCAGATACCTCCAATTCACTTGAAAACTGATTTTGTTATTATCCATCCAGGGTACCCGAAAGAATGTAGGCCTTGCCTTTGTCCTGTTCATTGTAAATCTCTATAGAGCTATTGATTTTTAAGTTAAAAAAAAAAAAAAAGCTTTTATCCTTCTTTAGGACACATAAAGGTACAGTTTTCTCTGTTGGGCTTTAATTTGTAGCATCCAGGCATTATGTGATACTATGATAAGGATACCGAGGTATCATCAGAAGGGCTTTTCTACATGTGCTTTTGCCAACTGATTCAAAGGCTAATGACAGGTCAATAAATACTATGAAATGTTGTGGGATCTTTCTAGTTTCTCAATATGAGGAAGTACAATGCAGCAATTATCATTAGGAATGAATATGATGAGTCTATAGCCCTGCAAGGTTTTGGATAAAGAGGTCCAGAGTGGCAGTTACAGAGAAAAAAAATAATAACAATAATCCCAAGTTATGAGAAATTCTGTAAGAATAAAGCTCCAACTCAAAGAAAAGAATTTTGATAATTGGGTAAACAAGGTTCTCTACATCAGCCTTCTAAAATTTAGAAGTATTAGTTAAATGAGCAAAGTCGGGGGGATTGTGCCCTTCCAAGGACAGATCTATTGGTTTATAAACCATTGGAGCAAAAATGTGGGTGAAATTGTTCAACTAGTCATTGGCAGAAAATTGCTCCCCTGTAATTCTCCTTCCTAAATCTATGTCACAAACAGCTTTGTCTCCAAATATCATTCATTTTCGTAACTAATGACAAATACAATCCCTCCCACTAAGATATGTTTTAAAATGATACAGTGCTTATAATTTACATATAATATTCACCTTGGCAATATTTTGTTAGTTTCTCAGGTTTTTTGTTCTATCTTTG